CGTACGTAGAGAGAGAGAAGAGAGAGAGAGAGAGAGAGAAAGAGGTTTAGAGAGAGAAAGCGTGTTTTAATGTTTGTAGGGGTGAAGAGAGAACGGCCAACTGAATTCCCAATTCAATACTAATTTTAGACGCACCCGGATACCCCTGCCACGTGTCAATTAATTGGAGAGCCCGCGATTCGGCCCTTCACATACCTGTCCCGCCATTTCCACCTTCCCCTTTTTAGCTCATCGGATGACTATAATACCCCTCCAAATATTCATCTGTAATTTCGACAATGTCCCTGCTTCGCATGAAATTTCGGCTCTGTCCCGGATTTGTTGGGTCTTGACGGTTTTGGCCCTCTCAGCATATGACATGGCATCACTATAAAAGGGCAAAAATGAGTACTTATTGGAAGCTTATATTTTTTTTTTATATTTTAGGCGGTAACTATTAATCCCATTAATCCGGGTTCATTTATTCCATTCACCAAGCTCAAATGTCAAAAAAGATTTTCTTGAGCTTTGTGATGCAACACGTTATCAGATTTTACAACAGCCAGTTGGACATAATTATGACCGCTTTGTATGAAAAGTAAATTGTCTCATTATATACAATTCTATATTTAAAATATAATTTTAAAATTAATAATATTGTGAATTATTTACCTACATATTTGTGTTAGACGATTGGTGATCTAGATTGGGTATGGATCAATCTAAATCAATGATCTACAAAAACTAGAAAAATATCAAAAATAAATAAAATAAGATAATATTAAAATAGGGCTTATGAAGCATAATTTTAGAAGGACCTTAAAAAACACTAGATGAGCTTCAAACGAAAAACAAAAATGTATATATTAGGTGGGGTTAGGAGGGAGCTGGGTTGGGACTCATATCATACCAAAAGCGGTTCAATCTTGACCAATACCCATCCAAATTGACGATCTAAATCAGATATCACCGAATTTTAAAATGGCATTTTTCAAAAAGGGTTCAGATTGAGAGATACCTAGAGGGCTTTAAGGGCATTTGGCACCTTGATTTACCAATTTCGGCCCTCATAGATTACTCAGTGAGGACAAAGTTGGGGTGCAACTTGAGAATTGCCCCGGTACCAACAATGAATGAGGCGGTTCACTCTTGGGGACAACCCTCACAATTCATTGGTTTGGGATTATTGGTTCCCAATAAGCTTAGGTTTTATCTAACTCGGCCGATTCTTCATCAGGTATCTAATTATTTAAACAATTTTACAAGGAATGAACCACAAAACTCTTGACGGCAACGTACATGGTGCGCTTGAAGATAAGACTTGTCCCCAAAGAACTTTTATCCGTAATGTGAAATTTCCCCTATTGATGGGATTGGTTTTTTGGCAGTCCCAAATTTGAGGTGTGATAAGTATTGAGTGTTTCTTTTACTCATATCATATGGAGTTTATGTGAATTGGGGAAATCATTTGGGATAGAGTCAGGGTGGCCATGGGAAAAGTCCTTATTTGCATTTGTAGAGAGGTAAAAGATGGAAACGTAATTTTTAGTGGACCAAAAACACATTGTGGATCACAATATATCCATCTTCACTTTAAATTCATGAATTCGAAGTTTCAAAAACAATGTGGATCTTATGATTATTGAAGAATTACAATGAATAGTGCACAAAAGAAAGTACATAACATATTATTATTAGAGCTCAAAGATCGTGGTGGTCTAGATGATTGACCAACGTGTTTGGGGTAGAGAACTAGAACCTGCACACAATTATCATCAATCATCGTCGTAGCCTTTTTCCAACTATTTAGAACCAGATACATGAATCATGGTCCAAAGTTCCGGATTCATATAAAGTTTTGACAATGTTTTATATTGGTTGTCTAACTAACACAACCCACTTTCTTTAGACGGGTTAAGAGAAAGTTTACGGTTGTCACCCTTTTTAGCCCACAAAGTTCACACACAATGCATGAGTTTATAGACCTTATGATTGTGCAGATGTAATGTGCAAGGGTTGTCGAACACGTCATGTGATACACTCATCTTATGAGTATGTTGTTTCTTAACAGCCCAACATTTCGTCTCATAAACACAAAGCTGGTCTCATAATATCTATTAGAAGTTTCCCTTTAGCGTCATTGGTATGCAACGATCATGTAAAACTCTAGTTGTATATTTACACTTTGCCCATTCATCTCTAATTCTATGTGTGACTTCCTTAATGTCTCAATTTTTTTAGATTATCGATCCAAGATATCGAAAGTACACTCTTTTTTTTATTTCTTGGTTGTCAATCTTAAATCTTTTATACTCTCTACTCCTATTATTACTAAACTTGCATTCCATAAACTCAATATTAGTCAGGCTAATATTAATACCTTTAGATTTTAGAACATCCCCTCAAAGTTTTAACTTTGTGTTGACGATGCTTCAAGTCTCATTGATCGAACCTATATCGCTTGTGAATAACATACACCATGGTACTTCATCCTTGCAGGTGCCTAATTAAGTTGTCCATAACTAAGACAAATATGTACGGATTTTATCTTGACACTTGATATTGAAGTATTGTCACTGAAAATTACTTGTCTCTCCACTAATTGTTTGTACACTAATTAGTGCTCCCTTGTACATATCTCTCACCAAACCAATATAGTATCTGAAGACTCTTTTTTTTTTGCAACACCCACCAAATTAAATATCGAGGTACTCTATCGTAAGTTTTTTCGAGATAAATAAAACTCATGTGCGAGTCTTTTTTCTTCGCCCTGAACTTCTCAAACAGTTGCCTAATGAATGATACATTCCTAGCTACCCGATTTTACATCTAATAACCAATAATGATTATGGCTTATTTGTATAAAAAATAAATGATCTTATTGTACATATTTATATTCACAAAAAGTTTCAACTTAGCATGTAAGATATCATACCTGATTGGTATATATAAAGTACTTATCAATAAGTAAAGGATAAGATCTTGGTACATCATGTATAGCACCTATTCAACAAATTCAAAAGTCAGTTTTAAGGGTGGATTATTTCATAGCCAAAAATAATGTCAACCATCATGATCATGCAAAATAAAATTTAAATTCCAAGAGTAACTTATTTTGAACTACTCATGTGGATGGTTCATTTTAATTCTTTGGCACACACGAATAGTTTCCAAAATATTTTTTTCAAAATAAAAAGCATTTATTTTTCACTCTCAATGGCCCAGAAATTTAACATTAAAAAAAAAAATAGGCACTAGAAATTCATGAAATATGGGAAGAGAATTCTGACTGTCAAGCTATTTAAGATAGAAACGTTACGTATTACCATTTTTCTCATTGAGATTAAAGAATTGTGGTTCATAGAGCTTTTAAATTTGATTTTCAAAAGAATAATAATGCTTTGACTTTATTTACGTCACATGTTTTACTCCAATTTAAGGGTAAAACGGTCAACCTTGAAATGGAGGAGTCCCTTTGACGTAGGGTAACTTGACAAAGAGTGGGGGGCACCTCATGAGTAAGATGGAGGGAATGCATTCCTCTCTCTTTTTTCTCTTCTTTTATGTCAAACAATATTTTTAGAATAGTAAAACTGCTCAAAATTATATATTTTTCTCTCTTTTTGTTTACCTTTTTTTTTATTTTTCTTCTTTTTTTTATGTCCTTTTCTCCGTTCTATTTTCTTCCTTCCTTTTTTTTTGAACTTTTTTCTTTCTTTTGAGGCATTCTCAGCCTCCTTGTAATTTTGTCTTAATAAAATTTATTTAACTGTTTCCAAATGAGAAATAAAAAATACAACACTCAAATGTGAGACTCGAGCATAAAATGTAAAAAATAACCGGTGTTGCCAATCCGGATTGGGTGGTGAGGGATAAACCAATGCCCAAAACCCTAGTCGAGGGCATAACATCCGAAAAATGGACATGCCAAATCCCAACCCAGTCGAGGGTACAACTTTATCCCAAATATGAAAAACGTCGAGGGCATAATGGTCATAGAAATATATTTTTTTAAAGATTAAATATGACAGATTTGACTTCGTTTTAGAGAGAAAGCGTGGTTCCCAAGTTTTCACGAAATTTCGGAGGGAAGTTCTCGCGGGTGTTTCAAATTCCAATGCCCCAAATTTGTGTGCACCCCTCTTGTTCGTTGTGTTATGCTTCTTTCTTTCGTATTGTTTATTGTTTTCTTAGTGGGCCTCGAATGGGTTGGCCCGGGCCTGGACTGTAGTGGTTTTGACCTTAGGCTACATTTTGTGACCCAACCCTAGTCTTTTGGGCATTGTCTAGGCATACATGTAATGAGCCGAAAAAACATCTCAAATGAAAAAAATAGAAAGTAGAATTTCATAATTTAATTTTGGGTGTAAAATATATATCACAATATTTTTCCTCGGTTGTGTATTATCTCAGGTTTACTTTCCCATCATCTTTTTAAGTTATTTGTTAATTTTTGTTAAAAAAAACAAAATGAAAATTATACAAAGAGACTGTTTATTTTTTGTACAAGGAGGTTATACTAACTATTGTCTATCAGATTTTAAATGGTTGTAAAAATGTCATTAA